AGCCTATTATGTGTACAAAAATATAGGGATATAACAGAATATCAAATAGACATATGGAAATAAATATCCGATAATGTATAAGTAACAGATATATAAAACAGTTATTCGATTGTATTTGTTTCTAAATTTACTATTGTTAAATATAGTCCCTTCTCGGCATCTCAGAGACTCACTCATCAGCTGATGTAGTCCGTATTTCCCAAAATCACGGAGAGTCAAATAAATGCCAAATTCCTCTCTGGCTATTTCCACAGATACTTCACACTGTTTTACCACTTTTCTCTTCCTACTCCATTCAAACAGTCAGGTTGTCACGCCTCCGATCTGCCATAGAGGCCAATTTCTTTCGCATCAGATCTGAGGGGTTCCTCTTATTGTAACAGGAGATCGCACTTCTCTCTGTTACCTCCGAGGTCTCTCCTCTACTCTGCTGATCCCTCCAGGATCCAACTTCACCCCTAAGAGCCTCCCCCCCCCCAAAAAAAATCGGGCAAACTAAATGGAACACCGTGACTTCCACCAGAAGCTCAAATTTGGCAGACTTTTCTCGGACTCTTTACAAACTTATTTGTGACTCATTATGGGCTGTGAATGAACATAATTCAGACTTGGACACTATATCATTTATTTTACAAAAAGAAACCCAAAATAGAGTATGTGTGTGAAAAACTAAATATTTGTTTTTAACTAAGTATTTGTTTGTAGCCTTATAGAGGATGAAGAGTTATCAAATTTGTAATAACAATTAGAAGTCACTCTACCTATTTTATCTCTTTATCTTACTTCTTACTATTGCATTGCACTTTTTCTTTTTCTGAGTTTAGTTTGTTTTCACTTTTACTATTGCAAATGAAATTTTTAATAAAAAATATGAAAATGGCATTTGTCCTTAGGTTATTAAAAGCAATGGTAGTTCATAATAGTAGAATTTGAGTTGATGTACGTTGTTTAAGGATGTGTGAAAACAGCCATATGTAAAGATGCTCAAGTTTTGTTTAATTTGGAAGGGTTACTGATATATTGTTTTCGTTTTTTATGAAAAAGTTAAATCCTTTATCAATGATTACTTTCCTGGCAACGCAGAAGGCTTCAGGGATTCTAAGTCAGACCTACGCCGCTTCTTGTTGCTTCCTGCAATGCAGTGACTCCAGTCTCTGGTCCCTCTCAATCCCTCCGGTCTAGTTGAAGATTCTATCACAATCTGGTATTTTAGATTCGAACCTATGCCTTTTGAGAGTATTTTAAAAAGATGGTAGAAGCGAGTCTTTTATTTCATTTTGTATTACCGCTATTTAAACTATTTAAATATAATTGTTTATATTTAAACCTAGAGGGAAAGAAAAGGTTTTTAAAAATATCGTCACTCTCGCTTAGAGATCATCCAACTTTTGGCCGCCCAGATACGGCAGCAAATAAAAACAGCAAACCGAACAGAATCTGAACCCTGCTATTTGACTAAGAAGCAACGTGACTCCTCAATGCCTTCTTGCTCTTCGCTACGTAGCAACTCATTCTGACCCCAAACCAAAAAGGAGGCGGTGACCAGGCGCCTGCGCGCAGGGAAAGAAAGGGATTTCTTCCTTCCGGGTACAGCTTCCGCACGTCGCCTAGGCGACGCGGTGACGTTTGCCTGTGGTTGGAGGGGCGCAACCGGGAGGTCATTCGGCGCTCAAGTCCTTCCGAGTTTAGGGTATGGCGAAGACTGTGGCTTATTTCTATGATCCCGATGTGGGCAATTTTCATTACGGTGCGTGCGCAGCAGCGGTAATTGGGAATGTTGGGATCCTCGTGCTTTCTGATCGAATGAAGGCTGTCTGATTTTCCCTCGGTGGAGGGAAGGATTGGACTTTTCCTAATAGCCATGTGCTACAGTTTCTCCTCTTTATCAGAAAGGCGTTTCGGTTCTTGTCTTTGTTTTTTGGGCAACGGTGAAAAAAAGCTTTTAACTTTCCTGATTTGAAAGACTGCAGTTCTGTGCACGTGTAGGAGACCTGGTTGGAATCATTTCACACTACTTCATGTTTTGAGAAAGAATAATAGAATAGAATAAGAATTAGAATAAACAGATTTAGAAGGGACCTTATAAGGGTCCAACCCCCTGCTCAAGCAGGAGATCATTCTAACGGTATGAGTCTTTCCAAGTGCTCTTGATTACGTTTGAACTGCTTCATTATAATTACTGCAGTCATATATGCATCATGAACTTAAACAAGAATCTTGTGCCCTTCAAAAGCTAACTTGCTTTAATTCTTACAGCAGTGCTTACTGTTACACACACAACCTATCAATGACCCAACCAACTTCTGTTTCAGAGTAACACATCTAATATGGATTATCACTTGTGGTTTGCAGAGGTCCAGGTAGCACCAAAGAGCACCTGGATTTTTGCAGTCCAGATCTGATAGCCTAACATAGTGGCACACTATTCATAGTGGAGTATAATTGTATCTGTATTTATGGAATGTGATAGAATTGAAGCATTGTTCTGTGAGTATTTTTATGAAATATTAGAGTGTATGTGCAGAATCATAGATTCTTGATATTATTTTTTTCAAGCAAAGTTTATTTTGTTACATACTTAAAACTTCTTTATAAAAAAAGTGTTGTCCAGATTTCCCCCTCTTTACATTTTCTAATTATACGTATACATATGCATTTTACATTTTTTCCATTTTATATTTCAGTCATCTTGTCTTCATTCCATAATCTCCCGCTTAATTTTAAATTCTTCTTAATATTATTCTTTTTGATATTATTATTGTACAGTTGTAGCCATGCTTTTTACCTTATGAAAGTTATTGCAGTTGTTCAGAACTTCAAGTCGATTCCAAGATGTATACATGTAAATTACAGATAATCACTTTGTGAAAAGATACGGTTGCACACGGGACTTGTTTTGATTGTTTAAACTTTAAGGAAATTTCCAAAACAAGATAAATATGTCTAGATTCCAGTTAATGAATTAATAGTCTTTTAAAAGGCCTCCCACTTTTACTTTCCATTTTATTCTTTGAGAACTTGTGGTAGTGATCAGGTAGATAGATTCCTGTGCTTCTGCTGTGGAGATGTTAATTACATGTGTTTCTCCCCCACCCCCATATTAGGAACAGGACATCCCATGAAACCACATCGGTTGGCATTGACCCACAGTCTGGTGCTACATTATGGACTCTATAAGAAGATGATTGTAAGTGCTGGATTTCACATGTTTGTTTTTAGATAATTATTACAACTTTTAAAGAATTGATATGTTAGCCAATACGCACTATATAATGTGCTTTTAAGTATAATAAAACAGAAGACAATATTTCAAAGCAGGAATCCATAGTTTGGACATTGTTTACCACATTCAAAATTATGATATACTTGACTTGTTTTGTTTCTGTCAGTTTCAGCTAAGGAAGATATTACCCCACCTTCCTTTCCCATGGAAAAGATGGTTCAGTACCTTCTGGCATAAATGCCAGAGTTCATAGTTGCAGGTAGTTATATTACCTTTGTATTATTACATACAAAGTGCCAGGATAGTTTTTGACCTGTTTACTCTGCAGGAAAGGAAGAAAGTTCAACTTATTAAATTGCATTGAAAGCTAACAAATCTCTTGGAATGGGTGTTTAATAAATATATCTGAATTAAAAGCAATATTATGTGGCATATTATAGCATTAGTTTTGTGATTTAGAATATAGCTTGTTAAACATATAAATTGTAATTCCACTGAACTCCTGGAATTTTGATTCATGTTTATAAGATACCTTTTATGTAACATGTTTGAATCCATTCTCATCCTTGGAAACTCACTGGCAGAGAAATTTGCAAACTAACAGTACAGTATATCAAAAGATGACATGTTCAGGATGACATCATGACACAAACTCCACTTTTACTTGCAGGGCAGTGTTGAGGCAAGTACCACAATTGTGTCTTTTGTATTGCCACTGAGGAAAGGGAGGGCTGACTATCCAGTAGCAGCAGGCGAAAGGCAAATAAGAAGAGAGGATAAAAAAACAACTACAGCACACAAGGCAAAGAATAAGGGGATAAATAAGTAGGCAGAGTAGACAATAGCAAGTGTGGAATATAAAAAAGAAGGAAGGGATAAATTAAGTTCACAAGAAAACAAGGAGGGAAAGGATCACAAGAAGGCAGGGAAAAAGAGATACTTATAGAGCACTTCATGGCAGGATAAGAACAAACCTTACATTTAGACTCACTCAACACTGAAACTTTAAAAAATTGACATTTTTAAATGAACTGCTAGAATTTTAATTTTTAAACTAGACATTTTCCCCTAATTTTTTAAATGATCTGTTAGAGTATCAAATTCTAAATTTTTCCCTTTTAAAAATCTGTGAAAAAAATAGATTACTACCTTTTTATATTACTACACATAGGGATAAATGGCACAAAATGAACCTGAAAACAATATTGAGTGATTCAGCTGGGCAAGAAAGTTAAAGAGTTAGGTGCACAAGTAGTTTTTTGATCTGTACTGCCAATGAAAGGTCAACATCTAGTAAGAGAACAAGAAAACCACTGGCTAAAGGGTTTGTGTTACCAAGAGAACTTCGGATTCCTGGATCATGGTCTGCGCTATCTCCACAATGGGCTTTTGATAAGAGATGGGCTGTACCTAACAAAAACAGGAAGAATGTTTTCAGAAAACAGTTGGCTCAACTTATCAGGAGGGCTTTAAACTTAAAATTGAGGGGAGGGGTGACCAATCTCTACGATCTATGGGACCTAATTCTAAGCAAAAACCTCCCCAAAACAAAACAAATAATAAGGAAGGAGCAATGGGAAGGAAGACAAACATAAACACCAGGGAGACATGAAAGTCAGACATAAAATATCTCAAATGCCTATATACAAAAACTCAAAGTTTGGGGAACAAACAGGTGAAGATGAATTATTAGTACATAAGGATAGATATGATATAGTTGCAATTACCAACATTTGGTGGGATGAAACCCTCAACTGAAACATGCTGACAGAAAGATACATACTGTTAAAAAAAAAAACTAGGACCCATAAAAGAGGAGGTGGAGTTGCATTATATGTAAAACATAATTACATTGCCACAGAAATGCACGAAACCAAAGATGAAAACTTCCTAGAATGCATATGGGCCAATATATATATATATAAAGAATGATATTGCTATAGGTGTATACTACAGGCCACCCAACTAAGCAGAAAAAATAGATGTACTTTTTGCCAACCAACTAACATTCATAGATAGGAAACACATTACAATAGTAATGGGGGACTTCAATTACCCTGACATCAATTGGAATACTAATTCAGCACCAAGTGAGAAATCGAATAGCCAACCTAGTTGACAACTTTGTTATGCAAAAGAGGGACAGCTATACTGGACTTAATTCTTACAAACAGAAGAAGTGATAGAGGGAACTGAAATTGCAGGAACCTTGGGGGAGAGTGACAATGTCATATTGGAATAATGCAAACATAGAACATAATCATCTCAGAACCACAGTACCATATCTTTTAAAAATCCTGGAGTACCGGAGAACTACCTTAGGATTGGAAAAGAGCTGATATGGTCCCCATCTTCAAAAATGGAGGGGAAAAAACCTAGATTTAGGAAACTACAGGCCAATCAATCTAACATGAATACCTGGGAAGGTACTAAAAAAGCTAATTTAAAAATAGATCTGCAAGCAGATCTAGAAATAATAAAAGTTATAACTAAAAGCCAGCATAGGTTTCTTAAAAAACAAAGCAAAATACTGTGGACATAGTATACTTAGACTTATAAGGCTTTCAACAAAGTACCCTATTTTTCACAGTATAAGATGAACTCCCCCCCCCCTTAAAATTTGGGTAGATCTTATACACCAAATGTAGCCCTGCCCACCCACCGCCCCCACCCTTTGGCCATTTTTGGCCTCCGTGCATTGCGTTTTAGTCCTGTTCCAGGCTGCAGGGATTGCCACAGATCATTGCCACCTTCGTGCCTGTGTTTTTGGCCTCTATGCCTTGCATTATAAGCCTCCGAATGCTCCGTTTCAGACCCATTCAAGGCTGCAGGGATTGCCTCTGATCACTGCCTTTGCACATCATGTTTTCAGCCTCTGCACATCAGTTCTTAGCCTCTGCATGTTGCGCTTTTGGGCGGTTCCAGGCAGCGAGGATTGCCACTGCCACCAATCCCCACTGCCTGGAACCACCTGAAAATGTGGCGCAGAGGCCAAAAATGGGGCATGCGGAGGCCAAAAAACGCAATGCACAGAGGCCAAAAACATGATGCACGGATGTGGCGATGTGCTCTGGCGATCCCCATAGCCTTGAACGTTCAGAGGCTGAAAATACGAGGCACAGGCCAAAAATGTGAGGCACAGAGGCGACGATGGTATGTGGCAATCCTTGCAGCCTGGAACAGCTGCTGGTGCTGAATCAGGCTGCAATAATGTGCTGAAGCTGACCTGACTGAGCCAGATGAATACCGATGGATGCTGGTAGGCAGAATTTTTTTTCTTGTTTTCCTTCCCCAAAATTAAGGTACGTCTTATACTCCAAAAAATACAGTAGATCACAACCTACTTCTTGGTAAGCTAGATAAAAGTGGGATAGATAGCATCACCATTGTAATTGACAAAT